CTATCCTAAAGAAATAGTCTCTTTTACCTATTTTTCAGATGTTGTACACTGCCAAGGCACCTGAACCTCCCATTGACCATAATTGCCATCCTAGTGCAAAGAGCTTCACATTCCTCCATACTGTGGGAAAACAGAACAAAGTTTTAGTTTCAGAGACATGCTCCCATAATCATCACCATGACATCTGGCATTTCAAAGAAAAAAGTTTCCCAGCTTCCAGTGCATAATCACATCCTATTCTAAAGACATGTTGATATACAGATGAAGCTCCTCACTGCAGTGCCATTTAGAATTGTGAATAAGTTGGAAACAATTCAAATGTCTAACAAATGGAAAGAATTAAATAAATTAGGGTATATACTAATGGAATACCATTCAGCTATAAGAGATGATGGCATTACTTAAATTTACTGATTTAGAATAATGTTGACAATAATATTAAGTGAAAAAGATCAGAGTATATATACTATGCTTGCATTTTTGTTTGTAAAAATACATACACACAAGTACACATAGGTTTGCATAGGAAATCCCTGCAAACATGCATAAGCCAATGAGAACAATAGATGTTTTCAAGTAATATAATTTCAGGTGATAAATGTAACCTTGGCCTTTCTGTACTTTCTAGCTTTTACTAAATTAACATATATACTATTTAGCAGATTTACAAATAACACAATGTAAAAGCCAAGCCAAGACTTCACTGCAGACCTATGAGATGTAAGCACTACTGATCTCCCCTCCTTGACGATGCTTAGGGCACAATTCCACAAGAATCTTCGGGCTTTGGGATCCATGCCTGTGGTTGGTTCATCCTGAAATTAAAGTAAAATAAGTTTTATCATTTGCTAAAAATAAAACACCAAAGATAGACTTGTTTTTAAAAGCTGAAGCATTCTTAAACATCATAAGTTTTAACTTACTATTTTAGTTATTTTGAACCAAAATAACAGAATAAATTTCAAACTCACTTAGAACAAGTTCACTTTTATGAATGTCTCATTGAAGCAAGAAACTCAAATATTCTAAGGAATTTTTTTAAAAATTCAACAAATTTCTCCAAATAAATAGGGAAGGTAAAGAGCCATTAGTTTCAATCATCTTTTCATTACTAACAAGTATATACTAAAAATTCTCTTTGTCAGGATAAGGTTTGAGTAAAATTCCTTTTCTTCTTTTTTCATTCTAATCTACTTCAGCTTACCCAATTATAGTCTAGACCATTCATATGATCTAGATTATTCTATAGCCTCAACCCAAGGTTTCTTCCTATAATAACTTCAGTGCTCTTCTCTAGCAAAGAAAGGAGATCAAAGGCCACTGCTTTCTAATGTATTTTTCATTTATCTCTCTTAAGGAAGAGATCCAGTGAAGAGATCTTTTTTTTTTTTTTTCTTAATACTGGGGATGAAACCCAGGAATGTTCTACCCCTGAGATACATTGTCAGCCCTTTTTTAATACTTTGAGACAGGGTATCATTAAGTTGCCCAGGCTGACCTCCAACTTGTGATTTTCCTGCCTCAGTCTTCCATGTAACTGGACTTACAGATGTACACCACCACACCCAGCTACTAAGGGGATCTGAAGCTGTGTCCTCACTCTCCATATTCAGGTTATGAACACATGGATGATCAGAAAGAATGTTCCAGAAAAGACCAAATCACACATTCAGCCTCACAGACTTATAGGGATTCTCCAAGCCAAGTACGTGGGGTGTCTATTTAACAGAGTCACCCCTGCTTGTGCCAAGAAAGAAGCTTCCCTCTTCTTGAAGGATGCTCTGCCACACAGTCATACAATGGCCTGTTTTCCATTCAGGCCAGAACAGTAGTTTTCCACCCAAAGACACACTTACCAGAAATACCACAGGTGGCCCACCAATCAAAGCCATGGCTGTTGAAAGCTTGCGCTTGTTGCCTCCACTATAGTTACCAGCATATTTTTCTCCATACTTCACAAGGCCCAGTTTCCGAATTGCCCATTCACCAACCTGGAGAGATAAAGCAGCTTGACTTTTGTCTGCCTTGGTAATTTTAGCATGCTTTGTTACACTTATATGTGAAAGTTCTTTGATTAAGACTGGATTCTATAATCATGACCTGCAACTACAGAGGTACCAGAAAAAAGGAGAGGAAATTTATATGATGGGAGCAGTACTCCCTCTCTGCACACCCCCAACCAATGCATACCTACCCACCCCTACTCCCTCCACCATTATGGGTTCCCACCCATGCATGAGGAAAACAGCCTAAAGTAGTCATATGTGGAAAATCCATAAGGTATGGTGTCAGGATGCCAAAGAGACAGGTTGGCTTTCTAGTATCCATGGTACCTTGCCAACTTCTTTCTCTGGGACTCCTCTCAAGAGGGCAAAGAACTCTACATGCTCTCTTCCAGTCAGCAGCTCTGTGATAGCATCAAACTGAGGGCAATAGCCCATGTTCTGATGTACTTCATGGATGTTTGACAAGATACTGCAAATGAAAATAAAACTTGTTAGGTTTTAAGCATTTAGACATATTCTAATCAGACAATCTGGGTTAACATTCCTATAGAGTATGCATATGTTTTACAAAGATATCAATATCTGCTGCTTAAAGGAATAGCCTTTCTGCCCCTAGGATGACAGCTGTTCCCATCTGTCAGAGTTTCTGTTTCTACCCTGCCTTATCCTTGCATTTCAAACCTGCATGCTCAGTCCTGTTTCAAAATCCCTGAGTCCACTGCAGCAGTCCCTGCCCACTGCAGCAGTCTTTACCAATAACCTAAATAACACTATCTGGAGCTTTAACATCTTCATCCCAGAATTGCTCCTGTGGTCATATGTACCAAGTGCATTGTCAGCCCAAAGTTGTCTTCATGACCATCTGGACCCAGAAATCCTGGGTGTGAGCTCCCTTCTGCCTTCTGCTGAGCCATACATTGACTCAACCACAGTTTGCATATTCCAGATATCCTGGTCCTACCAAATACCTAGCCCAGATACCCTCCTAGCTTTTAAGGGTTTTTTGCTTGTTCCTTTATTGTAGACCCTCTGAACATGTGGAAACAGAAAAACACACCTACAATCTTACGGGTGGGGGCAATTTTTAGGTTCTTTGATGCCAATAAGTTTACATAATAATTTCATACATAATCCCTAATGTATGAAAATTTCAGTGTCTATATCCCATTTTCATGCCTGCACTTCACACCCTCAACAAAATACATTAACACACATATGATTTAATTAAATGCTTCATAAAATGGTACCCTGTTGTTACTACTAATAGTACATTCTGATAATTCTTATTCTATTCTCTAACATGTCATTTGAAAAGTACTACTTGAACTTGGCCTTTTGGAAGTGGTCATTCATCTCTGCTTACCTATTTAGAACTCCCAGTGTTAGCTTTCTCCAGAATTATGACTGAATCAGTTCTTATAACCCGTTACTATGATAAACCTTAAGTTGAGCCAGTTACTGCTGCCATTGCTAAGTGCCCCAGGAGCATTAGAAATAAGCCTGGGGAACAGTGTTATTCCCAAAAATTCTGTTCTTTTAAGGTTCTTAAGTTGCTACTGAAATGATTGATAAGGGGGAAAAAAGATCAACGAGTACATCAATTTCCTTACTCTTCAATATTATTGGTATTCCCCTGTTCAGTGTTTTCAAATTTAGAGTAAATCTCCCATTAGTGAGTTATAAAATAAATCTACAACCAGCACTTTTTAAATGATATGATAGGCCGGGTGCAGTGGCGCACACCTGTAATCCCACAGGCTTGTGAGACTGAAGCAGGAGGATCTTGAGTTCAAAGACAGTCTCAGTAACAGCAAGTCACTAAGCAACTCAGTGAGACCCTGTCTCTAGTCAAAATACAAAATTAGCCTGGGGATGTGGCTCAATGGTTGAGTGCCCTAAGTTCAATCCCCAGTAACAACAACAACAACAACAAAAATTAAATGACATGATAGAGAATAAAATAAGAATTATTAGAGTGTATTTTAAGTAGTAACAGCAGGTACTATTTATGAAACATTTCATTAAATCATATGTGTGTTAATGTATCTTGTGTGTATCAGGCTAAAGTATAAAATATTATATCCTACATGGATCATGGTTCAGAAAAGTTTGAAGGTCACTGCCTTTGTACTATGTATAGATATAGAAAGCCTGAAGAAACCCCACATATTTAGAGCATTCAAGGTTAATACTGCCTAACAGGCCTCTAATGTGCTGCTGTACTCCCAAAGATCAGACTGCTTAGTAACTGTACAGTCTTAGAAATCAGCCTAGTGATGGGTTCATCAGTGGGTCCACTCTTTCTAGAAGATGAGCTGGCAGGTATCACCTTGTAGAAACTAATACAAAGAAACAATAAAAGTTGTATGCAAGCACATATTTATATAATAAAAAAATGAAAATTAATAAATGCCCAACATTTTTAAGGAATTGATTAAACAAATTATAGGTACATGTACACAGAGGGATTTTATGGAGCAATGTGTTTTTAACCCACTGGAAAATATTCATAATATAACCATTAACAATAAAAACTAATTTTAAACCTATATTCAGAATAATCTCAATTTTATGATACATTTATATGTGTAGAAAGATAGATTTGGGGTGATAGAAAACATCTAAAACTGGATTGTAGTGATGATGGCACAATTGTGTGAATTGAGGCACTGGGTTCGATTCTCAGCACCACATAAATGTAAAATAAAGATATTGTGTCCACCTAAAGCTAAAAAGTAATTATTTAAAAAAATAAAAACAAGTAATTTATACTGTTAAAAGTTATGCAGTAAGACTGAAAGAAAATGTAAAGAGTAGTTATCTCCAGGTACTGAAATTATGGATAATTTTTTGTTCTTCTTTAAACTTTACTATATTTAAACATTTTTATGAAATCTAAAGGGTACTATTATAATCAAAAAATAACAATGTGTTTCTTTAAAACTAAAAAAAAAAGTCCTTGTAACAAAATACAGATCACTTCTTTTCTCACCTATTTTTGTTAAGGAAAGCATCCCCTCTGGTAACAGTGGTGTCTCCGGTTAGCATCTTGAATGTGGATGATTTCCCAGCACCATTAACTCCTAGAAGTCCAAAGCACTGAAAGAATAAGACCAGGTGAGTTGTATAATCAAACTACTAAAACTAAATTTGAACAACCCTAGAAAATAGCCAACTGAGCTTCATTTTTATATGACATCATCCTGAAACATCATTCTTAAATATCAATGACAAATCAAATATCTTTTTGGTTTAGGACATCATACAGATATTAAATATGTATTTTATAATGGGATCATTTTCAGCAAGTCTGTATTTTTAAATACCATTTGAGTTGTCAGATTAAGACAAAAGTTAATGGATGTGTGAAAAACAGTAATGAAAGCCAGTTAGTCAAATTATACCACCTTATTTGACTATAGGGCATAAAAGGACACATCAGAAATGAGAAGGAGAAAAATCTATTTTTAAAAAATCTATTTGAATTTCCTCATCCTCTGAAATAGATCACAAAAGCACATTTTGGGTGTACATGCTTTTCTTAAAATGCTCAAGATTATCCAAAATCATTCTCTTGATATAAGGGGTCCCCAATCTCTTGATGACTGATTGCTTCACACAGGCATAAGGAGAGAAGCTTTGAAAGCCACTTTCATCCTTTATAAACATGGTTGTTTGATTGGATAGATACAGTGTGAATTAACAAACACAATGCAGACAAAGTGTGTTTACCTCACCAGGAGGAATGCCAACACAAATCCTGTCAACAGCAGGCTTCCTCTTCCTCCTATATATCTGCAACAAACAAAATGTAAATTCATGAGCTTCAGTGACTCACAGCTCTTCCAAGCAACTGTGGCAGAGAGGATTATAACCCAAATACGCCATGAAATAAGACTCTATCAATAAGACTAAGTCATATATGATGTGCTAAGAGCCATTTCTCTCTCTGCCAACCAGGTGTAACTTTGAAGCTCAAAATAAAAGTGAATTTCTTTTTAATTTTTAATCTGGGTCTTTTAAAAAATATATCAGTCACTAATATCTACATATTTTTCCATGTATTGTTTATAGTTCATTTTTAATTTATTTTAAATTTTTTTTTAGTTGTAGAGGGATATAATACCTTTACTTCATTTGTTCATTTTTACATGATGCCAGGGATTGAACCCAGTTCCTCACATGTGCTAGGCAAGCACTCTTCCACTGAGTCACAACCCCAGCCTAAAATTAGATTCTACAGGATAAAATTTTGCAATCAAAGTATTTCAAATACTCTACGTGTTACAAAAAGTGAAATTTGGGATTCTGCCATCTAAGAGGGCATTGAAATAGACCCTCCTTCTGAGCAATAGAGACATGTCAGCTTTGGTGATTATAAAATTTAAAAATCAACAATTTATTCTCCATACCTCAGTTTTGAATAGATATATAATATTAGCATGTTTTTTCTTCATTTTTTATTATAGTTGTACATATTGATGGGATTTGTTGTTACATATCTGTACATGCACACAACATAACAATATAATGTTTTAATAACTAACACACAAATAAATATAAGTAAAATAAATAAATTTGAGAATAGAAATTCACATTACAAAAGTATTCTCAGTAGACTCTCTAATTAAGAAGTTTCCATGTATCTTTAAAATAAAATAAAATTGACAGTAGCTTAGTATAGATGCACATTTTGGGAAGTAAACTTTTTCATTAAGCAACTAGGGTAGTTTCCAGCACATACAACTGAAAAATTAAGCCTGTAATAGCCCCTACTCACTATCTCACCTTAGTCAACTCCTTGATTTCCAAGATATCATTCTGTCCTCCACCATCCAGAATTCTCTGTCTTTCCCGCCTTACATCTTCATCCTCATCATTCAAAGGAGGAAGCTTTGCTTTCACTGGTCTTAGAAGAAAAATTTTAAGAAAAACAACCTTTCAAACTCTTTTTAAAAACAAAATCTAGTCTCTAACGCAATCTCCTAAAACCTATTTGCCACAACTTCCAGCCTTGGCAGGGTAGGGGTTGCAGGATGCCCATAATAGGAAAATCAATTTGATTTTCTTGAGTTCAAATTCGATCCAACCATCCTTGGCAAGTGTCTCCCTGTGTCCCCTCTGTGACCCTCTACCAAGTGCTCCATGAGTTCTGAGCAAAAGCTTACCTGGGTCTGATGAAGAATCTGTACTGGATCAGAACAGTAATGAGGAAAAATACCACTCCTTCCACAGCCATGGCAAAAAGGTTTCGTCCTACCAAGTCCCAAGAGAGTGGTGACACAAAGCGATTCTCCCCTAGTAAACAAAATACAGAAATAAAGTCAGAATGAAGGTGTCAAGAACCATGCCCTTCTTCAAACATGGGGTCAAGTTCACCTATTTTCCTAGAAACACCAATGGCTATTACCAAGGAAAAGGAGAAAAAATAATGAGAGTGACTACTTTTCAAATCTGACTTGTGGGAACATACGACTACCCTGTATCAATCAGAATTTTAGAGCCAACATGTCTTAGATCTGTAACTTCATGTCAGATAGCTAATATCTTTTGAATGAGATAAGCCAAAAATCCTTTTAGATTAAGGCAAACAATCCAGAATATTTTTTTAAGATCAGTATTTTAATGAATTCCAAGTTTTAGTAATAAGAAATACTAGAAAGCACATTTAAAAGATGACCATTTCAATGGCACATAATGTAACACAGTGACCCAATTAAGTCACCTGATTTTATCTAACTATTCCCTAAATTCCTTATACATCTCCTTTGTACCTCCAAGTTGAAGAAAGTCCCTCTTCTATGTCCGTCAAATAACATGGCCCATCTAACTACATTAGCCAGTAGATGAATGATAGTCATATGATGATACGAGAAATATTTTTAACCACTCTAAAGGTAGAAAGAGCTGCAGTGAATTATCTTTTTATAGATTGTGTAAAAGATAATATATGACCTCCAGGCCTGTGATTTTCCTAATAGAGTCAAAGTGTACATCTCTCCTTCTGATTCTTGTTCTGTATCTAAATCCCAACGCTGTGTTACTTTTTCAGTAATTCTGACAAACTCAAGTAGTAGCATGAGGCACTGGGTCCAAGCAAATGCCAACATTTTCCTTACTCCCAAAAATGCCCTTTCACAGATAAATGGCTATGTCACACTACACCAGAACAGCTGTACTGGCATAAACATTCAGGGGGGCAAGAAGAATATGGACATACAGTGCCCATTCATCAGTCTCTTTCCAAAACAAAAGCTAGGGCCCAAGGCCCATGTAATTGCCATCTCTTCTGAAGCCTCTAGCAGCCACTGCTCCACTCACCAAATCTTTCCAGGGCATCAGCCATTGCCTGGTTTTTCACCATATCAATGAGCCCTCGTCCCAAGCAAAAATGTGGGAAGATCAAGAACACAGACTTCAGGATATCATTGATGTTATTCAGCTTCTAAAAAGATAACAGAGAGAGAAAGTATGGATATCAATCATAGTTTAGGCTAAAAATGTATCCAAGTCTGAAATATGGGAGTAAAGAAACAATTTGATTCCCTGGGGATAAAATGAACCTTTAAATTCGGATACCAATAAATGGGAGTAGGTATTTTCCATATTTTTAAAAAACTTTGGAGTAATGCTGTGGGTATAAAGAAATGAACAAAGAATAGCAACAAGGCTATGTTTGACCAGAAGCAAATCCATAACAAAATATTTGCTTAATATTTTAAAAGCAAATTGCTTGTGTCTGGGTCAATATTTGAATTTTAGGATTTTGCTAGAATTTTATAAAACTTTTCTTAAATACATCAAAAATTATTATGACACCCAGCCAACATTGGCCACATATTCAGGGATTAAGGAAGTTACTATTTGTAAGATGCACTGTGCTGAGGCATGGGAGAGGTAAAAGCTAAGAATAAATAGTCTCTGTGGTTAGAAAGAGAAACATGGAAATAGGAAACGACTATGTAACTGGATATGTGTGGTACTAGAGGCAGAATGGAAGGCTCTGAGGGCCCAGGGAAAAAGAGAGCACATCCCAAAGGGCAGAGTAGCACATCACCTTTGAGCTAAATCTTGAAGGGCAAGGAGAATAGTACCAGGCTCTGCAAAAGAAGAAGGGCATTTCAAGCCAAGCCTACAGGATTATGCTGGGTTTAAGGGACAACTCTGCTAAAGTTACAGGGCTTTGAGAAAGGGTGTAGTGGGAAGTGGCCAGGAAAGGTTGTTCATCTATGAAACCCTTGTGTGCTGAGTTAAGGTATTTGGACAAAGGCAGTGACAACAGGAATGGAAGGAGTCTTGTTTATGAGACGTGTAACTGAAAGAACTGATGGCATGACCAGTCAAACATGTGAAATAAGCAATAGCAAAGCATCAAGAATGATTCCAAGAGAGCTGGGTTGGGCAACTGCATTGGATGGTAATGCTAGCAAGTATGACAGGGATGGCAAGAGAAACACTAGTTCTAAGGGGAAAGATGATGACATATCCAGTTCTGGGTATCTATAAGTTATTTAAATGAAGCCATCCACCAGGTATGTGAAAATGGGAGAGTAGAGTTCCAGGGAACAATCAAGGGATAAATCTGAGAGAACAATAAGACACTGAGAAAGGCAGTGGTGCACGCCTTGGGATTGAATGGCATTGCCCAGATATGGTGTCTCAAGTGGAAAGCAAAGCTGACAGAGGACTGAGCCTTTTGCAAAGTGACACTGAAATGGAAGCATAAAAGAATTTGACAGAAGAAACTGAAATGTTTGGCAGGGAAATATAAGGCACAGCAGGAGACAAAGGTACTGTGTAGACCACGGAAGGCAGTATCTGAAACAGGATGGAGTATTCAGCAGAGTCAAAGTCACAGAGAAGTAGAATAAGATCATAATTAACCACTGTCCTCTGGCACCCAGAAGTGCCCATCCCAGTAGGAGGTGCTCTTTCTACAGAACTCACATTGTTGGTAAAGAGCTCTAGCACAAAAGTGGCCACACTGCCATTGATGCCGATGAAGAGGTTCACGCTGGTGAGCACCACATAGGCTGTGCTGGGAATCTTGAACACAAAGGAGGCTGGGTACATAAGAGGTGTGATTGACCACCTGGTGAAACAAGAAGATAAATGTC